ACCAATTTACCACATAGTAACAGCAAAGTATAGTCAAGGCCAGCCTTCCCGCTTTTTCTAGTTTTGGATAGGAAATGGGTTACTATTAGACTTTTTTTTTTTTTTTTTTCGTTTTTTTCTGTTTGGTCGGTCTGTGCCTCCATTGATTAGGCTTTTCCTTCCATATCCTGTCTCTGAGCATACAACAGGAAGCGAGGAAATCTCTACAACGTGCCCTGATGAGGGGACATCCTTTCCTGAACACGTGTCCCCATTGGGACCCTGCCCGCCACTTCCTGTTCCATTATCAAACTTAACATTTTAGATTTCCTGTCACCAGGACAAATAGCGACTATTCATCTCCTCCAGAGAGAAGCCAATAGATATTTTAAACCCTTTCCTACTAAACCCACAACAGTAAAATCGGTCCGTATATGCAGTAAAGCATGTTTGTTATACTCACTGTGCAGCCTAAGGGGTTAATCCTCCACATTGTGTAAAATGGAGATTTGATCCTATCTTCTCTGATCCTTCCCTTCTACTGTCCCCAATCCACGTGCTTATAGTACAGAGCTCTAGGAGTCACCCTGCACATGCTCAGTTTAGTGTGCATTGCTAGAACGTTTTTTTTTTTTGGGGGTTTTTTTTTTTTTTGTTTGTTTTTTTCTGTTTTGTTTTTGTTTTTTCTTTGGGAGAGTGCATGTGGTCAGCACTGTCCAGATAGAGGGTCAGGGGTTATGCAGTCTCATAGGACAGTCAGAGCAGAATGAAATCTCCTACAAGATTAACCAGTGCTCAGCACTGATAGAAGATTGCTATATACTGCTGATAAGAAAAGGTATTTAGTAGTTTATATTTACTAAAATAATTGCAGTTCCATGTTGTGTGTACTGTGGGAGACCAGATATACTCCGATGAGGACAGTCTGTGAAAGGGGCCACTCCAATGAGGACAGTCTGTGAAAGGGGCCACTTGGGTGAGGGGGGGGTGGGCTGCCTGATTTAAGGGGGCTCTGTGATGGCGACGGCTGTTGTAAGTGGGCACTCTGAAATGTATGGTGCACAGAGAAGGTGATAAGTTGCGACGGGAAGGGGGGGGGGCAATTACTGGAACCGATCCCCTGGATGGCCTTTTCTGCAGCAGCTGAAAGCCAGTGGGAGGAAGAGGAGAAGAAGCCAGCTTACAGCTGCTGCAGAGAGCCATACAGGGAATCAGTTCCAGTAATTGCTCCCCCCACCATGCCGATCACCCTCCTTGCCTACATCCAATTCACCCAGCTGCCTGGTCCCCTGCTGGTCTGGGTCCCATACAGAAGTAATGGTGGTACTCCCTTATCCACAGCCCTGGTGATGCCTCATGTAGGGGGGGCTCTCTGATGGCGATGCCTGATGTGGGGGGGTGGGGGGGTTCTGAGGACAATCCATGAAAGGGGGCACTTTGGTGGCAATGCCTGATGGTAAGGGGGCACTCTGGTGGCGATGCCTGATGTAGGGAGGGTTCTCTTGGGGACAATCCTTGAAAGGGAGCACTCTGGCGAAGCCTGAAGTAAGGGGGCACTCTGATGTGGGAACCTGATGGTAAGGGGGTACTCTGATGTGGAAACCTGATGGTAAGGGGGCACTCTGGTGGCGATGCCTGATGTAGGGAGGGTTCTCTTGGGGACAATCCTTGAAAGGGAGCACTCTGGCGAAGCCTGATGGTAAGGGGGCACTCTGATTTGGGAACCTGATGGTAAGGGGGCACTCTGATGTGGGAACCTGATGGTAAGGGAGCACTCTGGTGGCGATGCCTGATGTAGGGAGGGTTCTCTTGGGGACAATCCATGAAAGGGGGCACTCTGATGTGGGCGCCTGATGGTAAGGGGGCTCTCTGATGAGGACAATCCATGGCAGGGGGACACTGTGATGGGGATGCCTGTTGAAAAAGGGGGTACTCTGATGGGGACGCCTGATATACAGTTACATCTGATTTAGGGGGCACGGGTTCTGTTTACCAGTTTTTTCCCGGTTGGTCACTGACAGTGTGACAGACTGTCATTGACTCAGTGTTGACATTGTGCCCTCTGACTTTTCCTGCACCCCCAGATCAGATAGGCTAGATCTGTCCCTGTTTGTCAGGCAAGAAGGCGCCTGAAATCAAGTTATGTATGTTCTGTTTTTGTTTTACAGATGGGGACAGTTTATAGGGCAAAGCTCCATGCTAGAGCTCCACTTTAAACGAGTCCTACTAGAAAGTAATGCAGAGCGAACGTTCACCGCGCCATGTAAACTGTATAGGAAGAGGAAAAGGTTTCTACATGGATATGTGAGCCCTCATTTCCATTTGGGCTGTAGAATGACATGGCCAGCTTGGGCATGTCCTCTGAATGCAGTGTGTTGTCCTGTCTGCTGAGTCTGGAGGCCTCAGTACAGGATTGATTGAAGAATTGGCCGGGTGTCTATTGCTCATAACAACCAATTCAGTTCCTCCTTTCACCCGCCATTTTCCTGGGAGGAGAAGTTGGCCGCACTTGTGAGCTCTGTACTGTGTGAGAGGATTCTTTTAGGCCCTTTTTGTGGCTGCGGATAGGAATAATCTTTGCAAAGAAATCTTTGAAAGCTGGAATACAGTCATTATACTGGTTAGTGCTTTGGAGAACTAGTGACTGAGGAAAATCTACTGTGTGTGCGCATGCGCTCTCGTGTGACACAAAATGCTTTACTTTCAGAATAAGATATATGTGTGTGTGTGTGTGTATATATATATTATGTGTGTGTGTGTGTGTGTGTGTGTGTATGTATATATATATGTGTGTGTGTGTGTGTGTGTGTGTGTGTGTGTGTATGTATATATATATGTGTGTGTGTGTGTGTGTGTGTGTGTGTGTGTATATATATATATGTGTGTGTGTGTGTGTGTGTGTGTGTGTATGTATATATATATATATGTGTGTGTGTGTGTGTGTGTGTGTGTGTGTGTGTGTGTGTGTGTATTCAAGCCTAACAATGGTTAAGCAGTTGTTCATGTGTTTGTTGTGTTTTTTTTTTTTTTTTTTTCCTGTGCTCTATTAGGGGGGTTTCTCCTTCTTTCCTATCCCAGGAAACATGACAGGAAGTGAGGACCGATCTCTCATGATGGTAACCCCCCTCACTTCCTGTGTCCATAAAATTCAGCAGGACAGAGAGTGGGAATCGCTCCAGTGGGGACGCAGACGTCAGGAACGACCTTTCAGGGCTTCTAACCCTTCCATTACTTGTGGTCAGGAAACAGGATATTGAGCAAAATGTCTCCAGTATTATTATTATTATTATTATACAGTATTTATATAGCGCCAAAGGGTTTGCTCAGCGCTGTACAATAGCAAGGGGGACAGAACATGAGACAAGACAAACAGTACAGACAGATGTATGAATTAAAGCTGAACTTGATGAATGTTTTGTTTCCAACTCATCCAATTGGAGTGCACCTTGTGTTCATTTATGTTAAAAAAAAAAAAATACAAGTTGTCTGATGGCAATTCCAAGCGAGTGACCTCGTGTATTCAGTGCACAGAACCCGACGCTGTAGTAGTGCCAACTACTATGGTGATTATCCACTTCCCCAATTGGGTCATAGTATGCTGGACCAATGTGACTCTGCAATAAAGAGCGTGTCTGGACCTTTCCTTTAAAAAAAAAAAAAAAAAAATGGAGAAGAGTGAGAACGTATTGCTCCCTATGTCCATACAGGTGAGATCACCTTACTTCCTGTTGAAAAGAAAGTGAGATGTAATTTCCTAGCGAGGATGCACATGCCTCTAAAACCCAACAGAGGTTGGAACCATTCCACTCGCTAAAACCAGAAATTCCATACTGGTGACAGTTGGGTTAGAACCTCTCTGTATCTTTGTTGCAGAACTAGTAAAAGAACTGAAGTTAGATGGTCAGCATAATAGCCAGCCAGTTAGCATTTTCACGTCAACTGTAGAAGGCCCCCATCTTTCCGTATTATGAAGGGTTTACTTTAAAGGGACTTTAAATTTTAGAGCAATGCATATCTCAGAAGATGTAGGACTTCATGCTGGGCACGCCTCGGGAGCGTGCAGGGGGGGGCTCCCGCTGTGCACGCCTTGGGAGCATACCGGGTGGGGGGGCCTTCCGCTGGGCACGCCTCCGGAGCGTGTGGGGGGGGGGGGGGCCTCCCGCTGGGCACGCCTCAGGCGCTACAACAACAAAAATAGAAAAAAGCGCCAATCTATATGTGTCACAGAAAAATATGTAAAAGTTGTGTATAAAGCAGCAACACCCCACCAAAAATATAAATAATAAATTTGGCAAATTTTAAACAATATCATATAGGCATGTGCTAAAAATATACAACACCAAATAATTAAGTGTCCGTATTAAACTGTGAAAGTCCAAAAAAATTAAAATTCCATTGTGAACTGTGAATGATCCACCACCAAATGAATTAAATAAACTCACCAGAGCTAAATGCTGATCAGATTATAGACCAGCACCAGCGCTTGTGCTCTGGGAGCGATGAAGGCAATGATTTCCAAATATTAGATGAAATAAGTAATCAAATCCTGATGATCAATAATGGCAGTCGGCATAAGGAACAGCATATCTCTATCAGAAGCAATACTCTGCAGCCAAAAGGACTTCTATTATATCCCTCCTTTCAACTCCATCTCTCCATAATATATAGGGTGCACTCAGGGACAAAAGAGAAATATAATGGTGCAATACGTTTTCATAAAAAGTATATATTTAATAGAATCTCCAATACAATACGCCTCGGGAGCTGCAGGGGGGGGGGGGGGGCCTCCATATGAGCACGATCGGGAAGGTGCAGGGGGGGGGGCCTCCCGCTGGGTATACCTTGAGAGCTGCTGGGGGCCACCCGCTGGGTATGCCTCTAGAGCCCGAAGACCACATGCTAGTTTTGTTGCGGGCAGATTGGGTCACAGTGATCAGATTTGATGCGATTTTTATATATTTTTTTTCATACATAGATGATTGTTCTGGTCACCCTTTACTTATAAGATTGCCTCTCCCTAGGTAGAAGAACGGTTTTCCAGGGTCCCCGAACCCGTCCAGAAACGGATCGTCTTCTGGTCATTCCCACGCAGCGAGAAGGAGATCTGCATGTACTCCTCGCTGGGGTACCACCCTCCAGATGGCGAACGCGACTCTCGGGTGCCCTTTAACCGCGGCCTGCAGCTCTTCCAGTCCGGAGCGGTGCAGCGAGTGCTACAAGTCGGTAAGTGTTGACACAAGCCTGCGAAGAAGTCCGGTTCTTTCCTGATCCTGTGTTCTCTGCCCTCTGCCTCAGTGAGGAGGCTTTTATCTGGTGTACAATGAGCACAATCTGTTATTATTGTGCGGGCTTTAGATAGCATTCACCATGCCTGCTTGTCCCTCAGGGGCCCAGCCATGCTTGCCGATCAGGTTTAACAGAATTATTTTGAACACAAACATAGGCCTCTCTATAGCAGGTGCCAAGTTTTGTCTGTTTGTGTGCGTGTGTGTACACGGAGGCAGCTTTTATTCACATGTGGAACTCTTGAGATGCTTCTATGAATGGACTGCATTGTCGGCACTTCGGGGCCCATTTTGGTTCAGGCTGACACCCTGGCAGCCAAGAGCAATAGGCCGGAACCACTGGTGCTTGAAGGATGAGCAGTTGCTGTTGCCCTTAGCAGTCTGTCTTTTGGTTCTGGTTTGGCACACTGCACTGCTAGTATTATTCGGATAATCAGGTTGCTGTCGACTTCAAGAATTTTTTCTTCCTTTTGGATGCATGTATGCAGCACAAATATTCTGAATTTCCAGGTTTCCCTGCTCTTGTAGGTTCGTTCAATAAGTAGTACTGTCAGGTTGACCGCTCCTTTTTTAAAGTTTATTTAAAGCAAAACCTTTATTTAGGTTTTTTTGATGAGGTATAGAAGGGTTAAAATCCAGCCAGGTTTTTGTTGCTGTCTGTGTCCCTGATTGGGGTATTGGGGGGGGTTGTCCTAGGTAGAGAAAATCCATACATTTGAATTGTCACCAGAACAGGAACAGAGGGGAATTCTTCCACTAGTGACACTTTTTTTTTTTTTTTTTTTTTGGAGAGTTTCTCTTCCGGTTCTGTCTACAGAACGGGAAGTGAATGAAAATCTTAGTTACTAGAATTCCCTAGTATTGGTAAAGTACAGATTTATGTTCAAGAGCAATATTCACATTAAGGATTCTTTCACGCTGATCATTAGTGTTTCTATCGTGAACGTAGTTTATTTATTTCAGGTACTTATATAGCGCCGTCAAGTTACACAGCACTTTACATATATATTGTACATTCACATCAGTCCCTAACCCTCAAGGGGCATACAATCTAAGGTCCCTAACTCACATTCATACATACACATACTAGGGACAATTTAGACAGGAGCCAATTCACCTACCAGCATGTCTTTGGAGTGTGGGAGGAAACCGGAGTACCTGGAGGAAACCCACGCAGGCACAGGGAGAACATGCAAACTCCAGGCAGGTGGTGCCGTGGCTGGGATTCGAATCAACGACCCGAGTACTGCCAGGCGGAAGTGCTAACCATTTAGCCACTGTGCTGCCCACGTAGTGCGGGGTTTATTTTTTTGTTTTTTGCAGGACATGTGACTCAAACACCAATATCTCAGAAGTTGTGGGACTTCATGCTGGTCATGTCTCGGGAGCCGCAGGGGGGCCACCCACTGGGTGACTCAAACAGAGCACCAAAAACGCAACGCAGTTGCGTTTTTGTTACGTTTTTATCACGTTTTCTATTGATTTCAATGGGGAGGTGATTATGAAATGCAGCCTTGAGGTTTGTTGATGCCAGCTTGCACATTTTGTGTGTTGTGTTGTTTTTAGTGGTATTTTTTTTTTTTTTTTTTCCCCCTTCAATACAGTGAATATAATAGAATGACACTTCATTCAACTCTGAGACATGAGTTGTGGTGTCCTGTTGCCTAAAAATACATACTGCATTTTCACACAGCGCATATGTGCAATGTGAACAATGTCTACTGAATAAGGCTTACATAACCCAACATCTATGAATATCCTGCTTGTGTCCTGTAATGTACAATCTTAAGAAAGATTTTGTTTTCTATGTGCCCTTGCTCTGATCCTGCATTGATCTACCATGATGGGAACAAGCACTTTTGGCTCTCTGTCAGCTTTTCTTGACCTCTCTTCCTCAAAGTAACCCTTGCTGCTGGTTCTGCCAAGTGGCGTTGGACCCAGAATGATACAAAGGGACATTAGATGGGAGAACAATCAACCACAGCCCAAGGAACCCCTAGTAATGGTCTAGAGCAGGATTGCTCAACCAGAGTTCCTCCAGAGATTTCTAGGAGTTCCATGAGCAATTTTCTTCCTCTCCAATAAGTACCCACTGACACCATTCATCTTCTTAGCTATCTGTAAGGGGGTAATTCTTCCCATAAACCACAAGTGTGTAAGGAGCATTCTTCCCACTGACTATCACAATAATGGATCAAGAGTTGTAGATAGTTATTTTTAACTGGGGGTTCCCTGAGACTGGAAAATGTATTTCAATTTTATTTCTTGTGTTGAAAGGTTGGTCTAGAGCAGGGCTCTCCAAACTTTCTAAACAGAGGGCCAGTTTACTGCCCTTCAGACTTTAGGGGGGTCGAACTGTGGCCATTGGGAGTAAAAAGGTTCTGAAGTCAGAGGGAAAAATCAATGCCCCTTCTTTGGTGTCAGTGGGAGGAAATGTGTCCCATTGGTGTCATCCTAGATTGTAGGCTCCAAGGATCAGGCCCTCAAATTCCTCTTGTATTGAACTGTACTGTTGCTGTATTGTCTCCCGTTATATTGTAAAGCGCTGAGCAAACTGTTGGCGCTATATAAATCCTGTATAATAATAATAATTGGGCCCTATTTGTGTCATTGGGAGAAAATGTGTCCCTTTCATTGGTGTCATTGGGGAAAAATTGTGCCTCATTACTTGTGTCCCACCATTGGGATCATTGGCCTCGGTGTCATTGAGAGAAATTGTGTCCCCTTCATTGGTGTCATTGGGAAGAATTGTGCTTCTTCATTGGTGTCAGTGGGGGGAAATATGCCCTCTTGGTGTCATTGGGAGAAATTGTGTCCCCTTTATTGGTGTCATTGGGAGAAATTGTGTCCCCTTTATTGGTGTCATTGGGAGAAATTGTGTCCCCTTTATTGGTGTCATTGGGAGAAATTGTGTCCCCTTTATTGGTGTCATTGGGAGAAATTGTGTCCCCTTTATTGGTGTCATTGGGAGAAATTGTGTCCCCTTTATTGGTGTCATTGGGAGAAATTGTGTCCCCTTTATTGGTGTCATTGGGAGAAATTGTGTCCCCTTTATTGGTGTCATTGGGAGAAATTGTGTCCCCTTTATTGGTGTCATTGGGAGAAATTGTGTCCCCTTTATTGGTGTCATTGGGAGAAATTGTGTCCCCTTTATTGGTGTCATTGGGAGAAATTGTGTCCCCTTTATTGGTGTCATTGGGAGAAATTGTGTCCCCTTTATTGGTGTCATTGGGAGAAATTGTGTCCCCTTTATTGGTGTCATTGGGAGAAATTGTGTCCCCTTTATTGGTGTCATTGGGAGAAATTGTGTCCCCTTTATTGGTGTCATTGGGAGAAATTGTGTCCCCTTTATTGGTGTCATTGGGAGAAATTGTGTCCCCTTTATTGGTGTCATTGGGAGAAATTGTGTCCCCTTTATTGGTGTCATTGGGAGAAATTGTGTCCCCTTTATTGGTGTCATTGGGAGAAATTGTGTCCCCTTTATTGGTGTCATTGGGAGAAATTGTGTCCCCTTTATTGGTGTCATTGGGAGAAATTGTGTCCCCTTTATTGGTGTCATTGGGAGAAATTGTGTCCCCTTTATTGGTGTCATTGGGAGAAATTGTGTCCCCTTCTTTGGTGTCCGTGGGGGGGAAATACGCCCTCTTGTTATCGGTGATTAAATGGTGCCCCAAGGGTCAGATAGAAGCAAGCAAAGGGCTGCAGTTTGGAGACCACTGGTGCAGAGGAACCCCAGGGCTCCATGGAAATCCTGGTTGAGAATGGCAGCTGTATGCAGTCCAGGCATACTGTAGGAAATCCATGGCAGCTGTATGCAGTCCAGTTACCAGAACACATGAAACTGATTGCACATTCCTAGTAGATTTATTTCTAGTGATTTCAGGAGGAATCGGGATGGTTTCACCTGTAACTGTCCACACCTGACACTGCAGGCAGTGGCTTGTCATGCAGGTGACAGTTGGTGACAATTATCACATCACACACCAGTTTTTCTTTTCCCTTTTGTCCGTCTGACTCAGTGGCCTGAGAGTTGCGCTGGCTTGCCCAGGCCTGTTGCCCTGTATTTAGTCAGTGGGCACGCCTGTGCATGTGCCAGAGCTCCACAGGAACCCAAAATACGATCTGCCTAGATTAGCCGTGATGTGTGTATTGGAGAGCCCGGTCACACAGGTTGTGGCAGTTTCTGAATCCCCAACATCCGTATTTGTTCTAAGTATTAATATGACTTCTCTGCTATTCTTGCCTGCAATCGTTCTGAAAACAAAAAAACTGCTGTATGGGTTTTACAAAACCTCAGATATGTCTGTGAAAATACTGCACCCAATCTATGGAGGTTCTGAATACGACTTTGAAATCGCACTACTTCACTTGTAGTACCCGCAGGTCAGCACGATTTCATGTGCAGTTTGGCATCTGTGCGACTTCATGTCAGATGTCTTTGCAAATCACACATGAAATATACAACAACAAAACCAGTGCAGGAACAGGGGCGGACTGACAACTCATGGGGCCCCTGGGCAGTAGGGGATCATGGGGCCCCTGTGTCCTTGCCCAAACTCAAAAAAGCCTATGAAAAAGGTACCGGGGGCATCTCATGGGGCCCTCTACTGACCTCAGTGCCCGAGTGTCCAAATGGTCAGTCCGCCCCATGCAGGAACCCTTCTTCCTTCTTCTTCTTTTTCTTCCTTCTTCTTCTTCTTTTTCTTCCTTCTTCTTCTTCTTTTTCTTCCTTCTTCTTCTTCTTTTTCTTCCTTCTTCTTCTTCTTTTTCTTCCTTCTTCTTCTTCTTTTTCTTTCTTCTTCTTCTTTTTCTTCCTTCTTCTTCTTCTTTTTCTTCCTTCTTCCTTCTTCTTTTTCTTCCTTCTTCCTTCTTCTTCCTTCTTCCTTCTTCTTTTTCTTCCTTCTTCCTTCTTCTTTTTCTTCCTTCTTCCTTCTTCTTTTTCTTCCTTCTTCTTCTTCTTTTTCTTCCTTCTTCTTCTTCTTTTTCTTCCTTCTTCTTCTTCTTTTTCTTCCTTCTTCTTCTTCTTTTTCTTCCTTCTTCTTTGAAATAATGATGAGCACAGTTGGAGAACTGAGCACGCTGTGCTCTCATGCTTAGTGTGGTCAGTTTTTAATAGAAAAGCAGAGGGACTAGCAGGCACAAAAGGGATTTCACACACAGGAGAATTTCATAGAGGTACATCAGGAATATGAAATATTGGGTTCAGGGGCGGACTGACAACTCATGGGGCCCCCGGGCAATAGGGGATCATGGGGCCCCTGTGTCCTTGCCCAAACGCAAAAAAGCCTATGAAAAAGGTACCAGGGGCATCTCATGGGGCCCCTTACTGACCCCGGGCCCTCGGCAGTGCCCGAGTTTCCAAATGGTCAGTCCACCCCTGATTGGGTTTACATATTCTTAAATCTCCAACTGTTCAGCAAGGCTGATGACTGTACTGCCCATATACAGATGGCCACTAGAGGGAGACCTAACAGATCCTTTTTTATATATAATTATAAAAATATACCATTTTATACTTTTGGACATTTAATGATGTGAAAGTCTAATCGGAGAATTTTGGTAAAAGCTGCAAATGTGTGCTTGCTGAAGGTATGCTACAATCCTACACCAGTAGAGAAGTCCTCAGTGATGTTGGAGTTAGAGAATGGGGTACATGGACATCAAACACAAGAACTCTATTTTATGTGTGTATATTTTTCACCCTTCTACCTGCCACTTTTGATTCTCTAAACCCCCTAAGTGGTACTTGTACAAAGGACAGATGAGAGATATTTCCTTGTATTTGACCAGCATGCAGCATTTTTGTGTTAAGGCAGTTGTTTCCCCTTTGTCAGCAAATCTATGGAAATACCAGAACCCCCCCCCATCTCCCCATCTCCATCCCCTGCCTATTTGGGTGAAATTCTCTTTATTAGGATATCAAACCTGAAAGACTAATCCCCCCCCTTCTTCTTTTTTTTTTTTTTTTTTTTTTTTTTTTTTATATCACTGCTCTGTTCTGCATGGGGACCCCCCCCCCCCCCCTTGGGGAGCCCCTCCCTCATTGATGATTGTGTTTTGTATACAGCAGATAAAAGTCTCATTGACAGAGAGGGGCCCGAGGCATGTGACGGAGGACAATACCAGGCTGATACTCAGTCTGTCATGCGTCACAGATCCCACACATGTCCTGACCGTGGAGACCTGAGACCGACTGAGAGCCCTCAATGGCTTTATTGAGGGCCCAGCAAGCCTGCGCACATCGCTGCACTAAATCGCAGCACTAAATCAGCGGTGGCTGGCTAAACACTCTGCTAGTGAGATGTGAAATGTGTATGTGCTGACCTTGCATATAAACATATCAAGTTATTGTGTTTGAACTCTTCTACTTTTTTCTTCTTCCTTCCTTTTTTTTTTTTTTTTTTTTTTTTTTGACTCTGTAAGGTTAAGCTACATTTATTTATTTCAGGTACTTATATAGCACCATCAATTTACGCCGCGCTTTACATATATATTGTACATTCACATCAGTCCCTAACCCTCAAGGGGTGTACAATCTAAGGTCCCTAACTCACATTCATACATACACCTACTAGGGCCAATTTAGACAGAAGTCAATTAACCTACCAGCATGTCTTTGGAGTGTTGGAGGAAACCAAAGTGCCCGGAGCAAACCCACGCAGGCACAGGGAGAACATGCAAACCCCATGGCTGGGATTCGAACCAACGACCCTAGTACTGCCAGGCAGAAGTGCTAACCATTTAGCCACTGTGCTGCCCATGAGTTTCTACTTCTACCAGTCAGTTGGGGAGGGACTCTGTTGCAAGGATCTCTGTGCCCCATATGTAGGTTTCCCAGTAGGGAAGGACAGGGGAATGTTGGCCCTGGGGAGGCATTTTATAGCCAACCAGCCCTTTCTAGCATGGAAGTATTTCTATGGGATAAACGTGTACCATGGTGCTGCATTCCTTGGTGGTCAGGGTCAAAGGTGGGTGTTCTGAAGAACATGGTCTACTGCGACACTTTTTTTTTTTTTTTTTTTCACACATTCCAGAACTGGCTTTCTTTTTGAAGATCTATGCATTCAGTGACATGACATTTCAGAGCTGCAGAGATGTTGGTGCTGAAAGCCAGTAACTATATAATGCCCATCGATGTGTCATTGACTCTTGATCCTGTTGTGATCAAGTTCTGAATGGTGAAATACCTTTACTTGGGCCACCAACCCAACATAGCTTCTTAGTACTGACCTAATAGTAATGCCCCCAAATATGTCCTTTCCTTGCTCCCATTCTTCCTTTTCTTGTATTTTCCATATTATAAAAAGGAGTAGCCAAAACACATGAAGGTTGGCAGTAACAACCCCCCCCCCCCCCCCAAACTACAAGGTTGGCAAGAACAGTGTCAGGAATTGAATCCAAGACACCAAGGGTTGACTTGGTCCACCAGGCTCTACCATGTATTCTCTATAGATATTCTATGGTCATCTGAAAGCTGCATAGTTATCTATATAGTGCCTCTAGAAAAATATTGCCCTTGTTTAGCCCCACATAGGCAGATATGTCAGTTGGGGCAAATTTCTGTTTGTTTGTTTTTGGGGTTTTTTTTTTTTTTTTTTTGTTTTTTTCAGCATTTATTCAAGCATTCTCGTGGAAGATTTTTAAGTTGCATTAATCTGCAGCAGCTACAGTTTTACTTGTCCTCCTTTATGCATCAGCTGCCTGATTATCTCGCATGGCCTGCTAAAAATCACATGTAACTAGAGACTATTCTATTATGTATAAAGGGGTCCTGATAGCCGGGCCCCTCCTCTCTTCTCCGTGTGCATGAGAATTGGGTTAGGGGGAGCTTGTGAACAGATGGGAAGCGGAGGGTTGGTTGCACCGTGTTGCCCCCATTGCTATGATTGTAGCAGAGATTATAAAATGGTGTCGTGACTCCTCCCTCTGATAATAATCAGGAGTCCATCTGTGTTCGTCCACAGCCCGATATGTCTGTCTATTCTATAATTAATTGAATGTCCGATGCGAGTCTGGAAAATGTATGGGCCTTTTTGGTTGATTTTTGGGTCCTATGTGCATGCAAGTGTGGGTATGCTCTACAATGAAGGGACAATTATAAAGGATTTAAAGCGTTGGACTTTAGATTTTTTTTTTTTTTTTTTTATCAATTACCAGGGGCAGATTTCTTTTTTTGCTGTGAATTCTCACAACCCATAATTAGATTATGCTAGTGGGAAGCTCTATGGAACACTGCTCAATGGGAGGTCAATGAGACAGAAGATTGGGGAGGGGGTGATTTTGAACTGCAGATAACCAGTAAACAAATGGTCTTTTATCTCAACTCTCCTATTGTTCTGTTCACACAATATAAACCAATTTATGGTGGTTTTTAGATTTGACTTTGGGTTTGGAACTTTAAGGAAACTTAATAAGTTGGCCATAGGTGGATCGAAATTGGCCCAGTTTAGCAGGGACTGGCTGAATTTTGCACCATCTTTGGGCGTTCTCTTTCAAGAGGCGCTGACATGGTGATTCGCTGCTATCAAATGGGACTGTTGGGGAAAAATTGCATTCGATTAGCACATGCAGCCAGTTGGTTACAGTACTGATCAATATATTGTGACAGGGGAGGAGTCCCTCTGTTAGAATACAATAGTGCCGCAGGGTGGATTCCCCATCCACACAATCTGGTGGTGGTGTGTTTGTGTTTTTTGTTTGGTGTTTTTTGTGGTGTTTTTTTTGTTTTTGTTTTTTTGATCAGCCAGCTGGCTTTAAGCTTAAACTTGGCCAGTTCAGCAGGGACCGGCCGAATTTCGATCCTGGTATGGCCATGTCTGGACATGATTGTCATCTTCTCACCTCCTCTCCTCTTCTTCTTGCAGGTTTTCACCTCAGTGGGTCAGTCACAGAAGCGGGGGAACCAGAGCGAACCTACCAAGTATCCATTAGCTTTGACAGATGCAAGATCACATCGGTCAGCTGCGGCTGCGAGAACAGAGACATTTTCTACTGCGCACACGTGGTGGCGCTGTCCCTCCATCGCATCCGACGGGCGCGAGGGGTGGAGCTGAGGCTTCCTATCTCAGAGACTCTGTCCCAGATGAACAGGGACCAGCTTCAAAAGTTTGTGCAGTACCTGATCAGCGAACATCATACGGAAGTGCTGCCGACCGCCCAGCGATTAGCTGATGAGATCCTTCAACTGGGATCTGAGATAAACAGAGTGCATGGTAAGATTGGGAGTTCCTTGCTGGGGGGGTTCAGAAGGTCAAAATCTCCAGCAGCCCTCGCTTTATTCTGAATGGGATAAACTCGAGAGCTGCTATTATTGGCTTGTTTTTAAAGGGCTGTCAACTCCATTCTAGCTCCATTGGTTAGCAAATCTCTGACCTGGAAAAGCATGGGTACATCCAGATGACCTAACTTGGCTGTTCACTTGTTCCAGGCAGGGGCGAACTGACCATTTGGTAACTCGGGCACTGCCTGGGGTCAGTAGGGGGCCCCATGAGATGCCACTGGTACCTTTTGTGCCTGCTATTACTTCTGCTTTCCTATTTAAAACTGACCACACTAAGCATGAGAGCACAGCGTGCTCAGTTCTCCAACTGTGCTGTGAACTCAGCCTGCTCCCCCACCAGTGATCAGACTTAGCCGTGGTTTACACCAGTGCAACTTGTCATGCGATCTGAAACTGTCAGATCACATGACAAGTCACACCCTATTTGTAACTATGAAACTGGACAAGTCAGTGCGACTTCAACTTTGTGGTGCCGCACTGATTTTGAAAAAAAAAAAAGGGTTCCTAGACAGGGCGGACTGACCATTTGGAAACTCGGGCACTGCCCGGGGTCAGTAGAGGGCCCCATGAGATGCCCCTGGTACCTTTTTTTTTTTTTTTTTTTTTTTTTTTTTTTTTTTTTTTTTTTTTTTTTTTCATAGGCTTTTTTGAGTTTGGGCAAGGACACAGGCCCCATGATCCCCTATTGCCCGGGGGCCCCATGAGTTGTCAGTCCGCCCCTGGTTCCAGGTAGTCAACTACTAGAAGGAATGATGGTAACCTTGGAGCCTACGTCTTCAAAGCCAACCAATGAAAAATCCTGCAGTTCCCTTTTAAATTGTATCTAAAGCCTTTTGATTACCACCATCGGCAAAGCTCATATCATAAAAAATTGATCTAGTGGGCAGAGAAGGCAATATCAATGTGCAAAAAGGAAGTCCTTTTCAATATTTGATTGGTAAAACTGATTGTCAAAGGGGCTTTCCCAGAACATTTAAAAAAAAAAAAAAAAAATACTGGTCAGGTTGCCTACCTTACCACAGAGTAACGCCATCCAATATCCTACATAGGTTATTAAGCTAGAATATGGTATCCGAGGAAAACTGCATCTGTGACCACATGTATGAGCCCAAGCAAGCATGCTCTCTATTGTGATTGTATTGCTGTGTATTTGTAACAAATGACAACACAGTTCAGGTTGGGTAGCATTTCTTTTATTCCTAATTTTAAGAGACATTGACAGGTAACTTTTACCTTTTTTAGAAAGTATGAACATTTTTATTATAGGTACTTATTTAGTGTCGTCAATTTCTGCAGTGCTTTACATACTCCCATATGGGCAGCATGGTGGCTAGCACGTCCACCTAGCAGCACTAGGGTTGTCGGGTCCAATACCAACCATGGCACGATCTACCTCAGCGAAGGGGCACACCGCCTTCTTCACAGCTCAGACTGCCAATCTGTTGGAGGTCCCTCCCCGTCACCATTTTTTCTCTTGGTGTCAGGAAAACTTGTCGGAAGTGATTCATGCCGATAGTTGCATAATGAAGCAGCGGACCGAAACGACACTTGATGCTCTGAATTGAGACAAGTACACACTATAGAGGGATATGCTTTGTCTATACTTCATGTCTGAGGTTTACAACCATTTTTGCCAGCACAAAAACGTTGTTTCCACACACATTCAAGGTATTCTTTCATGGGGGCCGTTACTATAGGAAAACCTATTTCGTATATGTGTAATACTTTTCATACGTCTAATAATTTCCTGCTTTTTAGGAGCCCCAGACCCCACTGCTGGCGCAGGTCGAGAGGATGACAACTGTTGGCATTTAGATGAGGAACAAATTCAGGAGCAAGTGAAGCAGCTTCTGTCCAATGGAGGGTATTATGGAGCGAGTAAACAGCTGCAATCTATGTTCAATAAGGTGAGCGTTACCATTCGTGGTCCAGGAAAGTCCCCGGGTATCCTCCTCCAAATTTCCCTTCTATACCGATTTTAATGCCGTTGCTTAGCAAAAATCAGATAAAATGTGAGTACTTCTGGGGTGTGGACGGTAAATAAACATCCAGATCAGCTGTTGCCTGCTAACTTCTGAGCTTTCAGTGCTTGGATTGGGGGGGGGGGGGGGGAAGGGTAAGGACTGGGGGCCAATCTGGTATGTTTCATACTGATATTCTGACGGGAAGAGATGAGTGAGCATAGACCTGTTCAGTCAGCAGGGAGTGGAGAGAGGATACCATGGTATTCCTTGACTCTGGTGCTATCCACCCGACTGGATTGTGTGGCAGGCCTGTGTAAATCTCAGGACTGGATGGACAAATACAAATCATTTGGCAGGAAAATTGGCTCACCATTGTATTTCAGCTGAGCGTGTAGCCTGTAGTTTAGCTTTAACCCCTTTTGACCATACTCTGCACATCCGCATCTCTGTGTTGAGAGCATACTATCGTAGACTGCTTTCAGTTTGGACTACACATCAATAGCTGGCAAGATGGGCTTACAATCATGTGATCACTATAATAGTGGTCACATCATCACCTACTACCTACCTAACTACTGACTTTTTTGTGGTGGGGTGTTTTTTTTTTTGTTTTATTTTTTTTCCTTTATTGCTGTATGTTACATGTCAGGCATACTTGGTACTGAAGGTCTGTGTTAATGTGGAGATTGTGCTTGTTCTATTGGGGTTTTTTAACTTCCTTTTTTTATTCCTTTCTTTTCACCAGGTAAGGGAGATGTTGAGAATGCGAGACTCCAATGGAGCACGCATGCTCATCTTGATGACCGAACAGTTTTTGGAGGACCCCCGCCTTGCACTCTGGAGGCAGCAGGGAGCTGGCATGACTGACAAATGTAGGCAGCTATGGGATGAACTAGGTGAGTTTTGTAGCATGTACAGTGGTCTAACTAGACTGCAAAGGACCCTGATCCAGGTTTGGCTGGATTTTATATTACTTTGGCACCTAAAGCTCTGGTGCCAAACCTGTGACCTGAGGGCCACATGTGACCGTTTTGATATGTGCGGTCTTCGGACCTCAGCAGTCTGTAGTGGGAACATTCTCTAGTAGCATTATGTAACATGTTCCCAGTTTACTATTGACTTCAGCATTTCTCCAGCCAAAACTGTATCCTGTCCACAGTCTGACCATCATTTCCTGTATTAGGTCTGCAGTTTCTGGCAGTCCTCTCAAGCATTACATATATTGAACATTTTATGTGCGGCCTTTTGGGGATGTCGGGGGGGGGGGGCCGCAGTTGATTCCCCCTACAGCTCATAAGTTGACAGCCACTGACCTAAAGGGTTTGTGTTCTACATGTAGCTCTATTTAATCCACACTTTAATCATTTGATGCTTAGGATACTGTATACAGATTTTCATGTATTTCACCCACTCAGCCAGCCCTCTCTCCCTCGCCAGCTATGTTTTTTTTTTCTGCATATGTGTGGGCATGCAGTTCAAGTCTTGGTCTCAGAAATTGCTCCTAAAACACTTTATCCAGTACACCCCACCAATAAATCCGTTTTAAAGGGTTAGTTCAGCTTTTACCGAGTAACTGCCCAAGCAGGTAAGGGTCGCCTGTAGATAAAAACAAACTGTTCCAGTTTGATTAACGCTAGATAATGCTTTATAAGTGTAGGCCATTTATGTACTTCCCAAAGTACGAAGTGTGTGTGTGGTCCACTATCTCCTCTGTCGCAGCATAGCAGAGCTCAATGGTACTGCTGCAGGGAAGAGTGCAGGTGGGAGTGTCTAAATGGTAATCTCCTATAGATAGCAAGGGCAATATTTACCTTTTGGTTAAAGTTTGTTTTTCTCTACAGGTGCCACTTACTTGCATAGACCTCTTTTTTGGTAAAGTTGAACAAACCCTTTAAATGATCTGTGGGTCTGTCTTCTGCAGCTTTAGAATGGCTCATGATGATAACAGATCTAAGGCTGCAGTGAACAACAGCAAATGCTTTCCTGGGCATACTGTATAACCTTTTACAGTGAAGGAAAGAAGTATTTGATCATTTCTTTGTGAGTGGGCAAACATTCAAAAATCAGCAGGAGATCAGTCTAAAAATCGAATGTTCGGTGTATTGTAACACTGAGACTGAATAGCAACAAAAACAATTCTAAAGAAATGCATGTTTAACAAATGATGCACTGATTTGCCTGTTCATGAGGGAAAAAAGTATTTGATCACCTTCACAAAACATGACTTGGTACTTGGTGGCAAATCCCTTGTTGGCAATCACGGAGGTCACATGTTTCTTGTAATTGGCCACCAGGTTTGCACACATCTCAGAAGGGATTTTGGCCCACTCCTCTTGGCAGATCCTCTCTGTCATTAAGGTTTGGTGGCTGATGTTTGGCAACTCGAACTTTCAGCTCCCTCCACAGATTTTCAATCGGATTAAGGTCTGGAGACTGGCTAGGCCACTCCAGGACCTTAATGTGCTTCTTTTTGAGCCACTCCTTTGTTGCCTTGGCTGTGTGTTTTGGGTCATTGTCATGTTGGAACACCAATCCACGACCCATCTTCAATGCCCTGGCTGAGGGAAGAAGGTTCTCACCCAAGATTTGACGGTACATTGCCCCGTCCATCGTCCCTTTTTAATGCGGTGCAGTTGTCCTGTCCCCTTAGCAGAAAAATACCCCCAAAGTAGAATGTTTCCACCACCATATTTGACAGTTGGGATGGTGTTCTTGGGGTCATAGGCAGCATTCCTCCTCCTCCAAACACGGCGAGTTGAGTTGATGCCAAAGAGCTCGATTTTGGTCTCATCTGACCACAACACTTTCAACCAGTCCTCCTCTGCATCATTCAGATGTTCAGTGGCAAACTTCAGATGGGCCGGGACATGTGCTTTCTTGAGCAGAGAGACCTTGTGGTTACGGCGGAGTTTCAATCCTTGTCAGTGTAGTGTGTTACCAATTGTTTTCTTGGTGACTGTGGTCCCAGCTGCCTGGAGATCATTGACAAGATCCTCACGTGTAGTTCTGGGATGATTCCTCACTGTTCTCATGATCATTGACACTCCACGAGGTGGGATCTTGCATGGTGCACCAGACCTAGGGAGACTGACAGTTGTTCTGTGTTTTCTTCCATTTGCGAATGATTGCACCAACTGTTGTCACCTTCTCACCAATCTGCTTGGCCATAGTTTGGTAGCCCAGTCCAGCCTTGTGTAGGTCTACAATCTTATCCCTGACATCCTTGGACAGCTCTTTGGTCTTTGCCATGGTGGAGAGTTTGGAATCTGATTGTTTGATTGCTCCTGTGGACAGGTGTCTTTTTATACAGGTAACAAAATGAGATTAGCAGAACTCCCTTTAAGAGACTACTTCTAATCTCCGCTTGTTACCTGTATGAAAGACACCTGGAAGCCAGAAATCCTGCTGAATGATTGGGGATCAAATACTTATTTCACTCATGAACATGCAAATTGGGGTATAATTTGTTAGACACGCATCTCTTTTGAATATTTTGTTGCTTTTCTGTCTGTTACAATACAACTACCATTCGATTTTTAGACTAATCATTTCATGAGTGGGCAAACATTCAAAATCAGCAGGGGAGCAAATACTTATTTCCTTCACTGTACATTATGTATTTTGGAATATTGCATTTTTTAATTTTTTTTTAAATACTTTTTTTCCTTCTGTGACAGGTGCATTGTGGGTATGTGTGGTTCTCAGCCCACACTGCCGCCCAGAGGAGAGGGAGTCTTGGTTGCAGCTGCTCCGACGATGGAACGCACTGGATATTTGTCCGTTGGAAGAGGGGAACTATTCACTGGATGGTCCAGGAACACAGACGATGCCTCAGAGTTCAACTGCAGGACAAGGTATTTCTACATGGAGGATATGTGCAGGATGAAATCACGGTGTGAAGCAATATATTCCCACAGGATTCTCACAAAGGCTAATCAGTCACCCAAAAAGCTTAGATCTCGTTTTATATCCAAATTGGTTTTGTTTTTTTTGGGGGGAGCAACTTGCTTTGCAGCTAGCCTTGTTGCATTGAAACACCAAGCTGCTTTCTGATAAGGGAGGAGTCATTGCTTTGACTTATGAGAGTTCTGTAAACAAACCACAATATTTGTCGAAAAGACAACCTAGAGCACCAACTATTGGACGAATAGAAGACTGCAACATATGTAATTTGAACCTAACTTGCAATAGAGATTTTTACGGCCGGTTCACACTGAATTGCTCAGGAACTCCTGTGCGATTCACATGCAGTCCGGGTGCAGTGTGATTTCAGCCTATTTATTTGAATGGGTGGAAATTGCACCAGACTACAGCAAAAGTAATGCATGCACTACTTTTTTATATATATATAAACCCCCCCCCCCCCCCTCAAAGCAACCAGCTTTATTGGTACTAACATAATACTTGGGGTGTCATTAAGTTTTACTTTGACACCCGCTGCAGGTTGCAATTGCAGTGTGTTTTTTTAAATGTGATGTGGGAAACGCGCATGGAACGTGGGTTTCCCATACCATGTTCTGGTGTGTGAACTGGTGCTTAAGGATAAAACCACTAAAAAAAAAAATGGTAAAGGATACTTGCAAGTAGCATATTCAGGAAAAAAAAAATTTTTAGAAAATGACATGGGTAGCATATTGCTAAATAGGGGATTCAAAGGGGTGTTTGATTACCCTTTTGGTTGAATTTATTAAAACATTCAATGTTAAAATTGAGATCAGGATAGAGGCAATTTAGCTTTTTTTTGAGAACTGTACATCTAAAAAAAAAAAAAAAAAAACTTTTCAAGGCTATAGGTTAGGTAAAGCAAGCCTAAAAGTGACCATTTTGCAGTCAATACCTCATGTTTCTATGCCTGCAGCTCCCCCGTCACCCCGTCAGACCGTTTTTTGCCCGGGCTCTCAAGGCTGGAGAGCTGCGCTGGAATGATCCCCACCTACAGAAAGTGCTGAATGGAGAGACTGCCACTCCAGGTGCTGGAGTGAAGAACACCACTGACAAGCTGTCCTATGACCCGCAAGGACGTCCGTTATGGCTAGGAGACCATTTCCCTGTGGCCTGCGCTCGCGTTGACGCACTTCGGTCCCACGGGTATCCGCAGCAGGCTCTGAGGCTGGCTGTCTCTGTGGTGAACACCATGAGGCTTCAGCGACAACATCAGATGGAGGGATTGAAACAGCAGAGAAAAGGTGAGAAGGAATGATGGCAAACATGAGAATTCTGACTGTTTTGCACCAGGTCAATGATTTGTTGTCATGGTTGGTGGTTTTGCTGGTTTGGTCAAGAGGCATTGGGGTAAATATTGCAGGGAAAACAGGGAAAATTTACATAGAACATGGTAACATAATGCCACTGTTGTTTCAGAAAGGGAATCCTTTTTGAATGAGAAAATTTGCCGTCCTGCTGATTAGCCTTGCCTCATATGGCTCCTCTGATGGTCAGTGGCAGAGGTACAGGATGGCTCCCACGGACTCTAACAACAGTATGGGCACAAACACAGAATCATTCCTATAAGCTTTGCCAGCGTTGGCATCTGAAATCAAGTAAATAGACCCAGAGACTGCGGGCGCAGTGCCGGGGATGACCCAGAGACTGCGGGCGCAGTGCCGGGGATGACCCAGAGACTGCGGGCGCAGTGCCGGGGATGACCCAGAGACTGCGGGCGCAGTGCCGGGGATGACCCAGAGACTGCGGGCGCAGTGCCGGGGATGACCCAGAGACTGCGGGCGCAGTGCCGGGGATGACCCAGAGACTGCGGGCGCAGTGCCGGGGATGACCCAGAGACTGCGGGCGCAGTGCCGGGGATGACCCAGAGACTGCTGACCTTTGGGGAGGGAGGGGGAGTGGGTACCTGTATTTGACAGGTACCCGCTCCCACTTCCGCGGAGTTGTCCTCCCTTTAGTGTGGGCACCCGGCTGACAGCCGGGTGCCCTGTGCGCATGCACAAGAAGCGCTGTGCTTTGTGATTGGTCCGGCGTCTTCTGGGAAATGTCATGTGTCCCAGAAGACGTCGTACCATTCACAAAGCGCAGCGCTTCTCGCGCATGCGGACTGGGCACCCGGCCGTCAAGCCGAGAGCCCACACTAAAGAAGCTGGTGCGGAAAGACTGCGCAGCGCTGGACCGAGGAACAGGTAAGGTCCTGCTGCAGAGCTGAGTGGCCGGCCCGGTATTCTGACATGGCGACGGTGGAAATACTGGACCGGTTGCTCCTTATTCGCTCCATAAGACGCACTGACATTTTCCCTTTTTTTTGGGGGGGGGGGGGGGAAAAAGTGCGTCTTATGGAGCGAAAAATACAGTATTGCACATTCACATCAGTCCCTGCTCTCAAGGAACTTGCAATATACGGTCCCTAACTCACATTCATACATACACATACTAGGAACCATTTTAGACAGGAACCACTTAACCTGCCAGCATGTCTTTTGGAGTGTGGGATGAAACCCATGCAGGCACAGGGAGAACATGAAGGTAATGCCATGGTGGGGATTCGAACAAACGACTCTAGTGCTGCTCAGCAGAAGTGCTAACCACTTAGCCACTGTTCTGCCTTAAAACATTCTATTTCCTTAACACTGGGCACATGCTGTATGGATAGTAGCCCTCTGAACTTTTCCATGACCTCTCGATTCTGAGTCATCCCATAATGCACTACACAAGCAGACTCCATCATCTTGTGTAGAAGGTCTCGGTATACATAAACTTGTCACAACTTTGACACCGATTAGGGATTGGTGCAACCTCTACCTGTAAAGATTTTGCCTTAGTGTCACAAATGCTCTGGGGGACAAAAATTGGATATGGCAATTCTGATTTGTGGGAAGTTTTGGCCAAGGAGTTGGTGGTTATGCCTGCAGCCCCTTCCTTTTTAGACGAGAGTGTCAAGGTTTGCAAATGTTTTACAGCTAAAGGTAGAGGTAGGAATAATTAGTTTCTGCTACAATAAAAGTGAGTATTGCTATACATGATCTAGTGATGTGTTTTCTTTGATTGTGTATTCTGAGAGTTTTTGGAGATGGGGATGCAACTAAAGTAGAATTCCAAAATATACTGAATAATCCTAAAAAAAAAAAAAGCTCCCTTCCCCCCCTCTTAATTCCTATACTTTCTTGTGTAAGAAAGATCTATATAGTTGCCTGTTTTCAAGATGCTCCAGTCTGGTCAGCTAGTGCCGGCTGCAGGGGGAGGAGAGAGTGCTCAACGGCTAGCCATGCCTGAAAGTGGCAACCTCACCCATAGGCTTACTATGGCCCATCCATTGTTGGCGCTCCCCTGAAGCCACTCCTGGCTGACACGGAAGCTGGATCACTTGACCGGACTGGAAAGCCCTGAAAATGGGTAAGTATACAGAAATTTCTCTTACAAACAATAATCAGAATAAGTTGTAGGAACAGTTGTGTTTTATCCCAGAATTCTCTAACTTAGAGTTCAAGTCTCTACTGGAGCTTTGTGCTGGTTTGAAAATCACATTCTACATTTCTCAGGTCCACCTCTGATCGTAATCATTTCTTACAGAGCTGCAGATGAAAGGTAGCACCACTCTTACCAATCTGGAGGGGTGGATTGGCCACCCACTGGATCCAATTGGCTGTCTCTGCAGGACCTTCTTAGAAGCCAGTTTGCCCGAAGATGAAGGACCAGCGCCCTTCCCAGGTTGGTTGTTTGTTTTTTGCAGTGTTTCCATAAGCTGATACAGTTCATTAATCCTTTTGGATCTAGAGTTGTGACCTCAGATAAAAATAGAGTTGGCTGGTATTGGAGATTTTTCATGTATTTTGGTTCTTTTGAGAATGCTGACACTGTTTGTTTTGCAGAAATAGGCGGGGAGCAGAGGAAGGTTATGTACCAACATGTCCCAGTTCTTGGAGGATCCCAGTCTGGAGAGTCTCTGCTCTGCTTGGCACTGGAAGTGGCCCTCATGGGCTTGGGGCAGCAACGAGCAATGCCGGAGGGACTGTATGCACAGGACAAGCTGGTGCGAAGTGAAGAACAGATCATAGGACTGCTGGGTACATTAGAAATGGGGGAGAGGCTGGTGCAAGTCCTGAGGAAGCAGGCGATGCTGCTTTTAGAAGGTATGCATAAAGCAATGGTAACAAGTCTGTCGCGATGAGGGGTTGACACCTTGTATAGGCGTTTTCTATGGCGCATTCTGCCATACTATGGGTTTGCTTTTTATTGCAAAAGGGCATTACGCATACAAAGTGAGTCTGCCCCAACCCCAGATGGTGGGGGCTAATGGGAGAGTAATATTTTGGCATGTTGTATCCCTGCTTAAAGGAGAAGTTCACCTTCTGAAAAAAAAAAAAAAATAAATGCAAATTTTTTTTTTTTTTTTTTTTTTTTGCAGGGTAAAAAAAATGCATTTATTTTTTTTCTTGGGAGTCTGTAAAGCATTTCACCCATGATCAGCAGATCGCAGGTGCAATGTCAGGCTCTCGCAGACTGTCTGCCTATACCTCTGATATGGGCAGACCGTTTACTTGAGTCCTAGAAGCTCAGTGGACTAAGAGTGCTCACCAGTGCCCTCACAGTTCATTGAGAACTACAAGTCATCAGCCACAAAGGCTTGTGTCAGAAGTAGGGCTGTGGGGTCGGTAGATAAATGTTCCGACTCCTCAGTTTTTTGTACTTCCGACTCCTCTATATTAATATGTGAATGTATTTTATACATTCCTTGAAGGAAAGAAAGGCAACATACATGTCATTATCACAGGACTACTGGCTGGGAAGCCAACAGTCTACTGTATTGAACAGTTTAAGCAAAAGACAAACACAATGAAAACTGTTTTTTATTAATTTTTTTTTATTAATTAATCAAGTGGCTGGATAGTAGCAGCAGGCATAAACATCAGGCACAGGAACTTTACCAGTCCAAAAATACAAACCACATTATTTGGTTGTTTTAGAACAAAAACAAAGCTTATCTATATGAACCAAAAACAAAATCTGTAAAACACTATGGAAAGTAGAAGTATTGGCGCTCCTAATTGTGCGTTGCGTGCCATATAGTGAAGCACTTGAAAAGCATGCTTCTTCACGGTCACTTAACATGTTCATTTTGCGATTACGTGAGGCACTGCATGCATTGGTCTTTATTCTTACAGTAGAGAAGTCATTAATTATAAATTTTTGTGAATTGGGACATTTAAACTACAATCTAAATTTAATCGGAGTCGGAGCATTGTTTGCCGACTCCGACTCCAGGTACCCAAAATTTCCTCCGACTCCACAGCCCTGGTCAGAAGGCATGGGAAGGAGATCCTAAAAACGAGTGGAACATGTTCCAAAAAGTGCATGCATTTACAACATACTAATGTGTGTGTGTTTTTTTTTGTTTGTTTTGTTTTTTTTTCGCTTCAAGGTGGTCCATTCAGTGGTTTTGGTGAGGTGATCTATAGAGAGAGCGTTCCCATGCATACATTTGCTCGCTTCCTATTTACGGCTTTACTTCCACATGACTCTGACTTGGCCTATCGAGTTGCTTTACGGGCTATGAGGTGAGTTGATGTGAGAACAGTGGCTCTGATCTATTCTTCACTGCTGGACCTGTCATCTGTTCGTTCCTATTTTAATGGTCTCTTCTCTCTTCAAGGCTGCCTGTGCTGGAGTCAGTCCTTCCTCCTCATGGCTCAGACATCATGCCATTGGACTCCATGCTGACCAGTCGCTTCCCCCGCTGGTTTATTTTGGGCCATCTGGAAACACGACAATGCGAGCTAGCGTCAGCCATGTTGACTACTGCCAAAGGCAAGTTCCCTGAAAGGAGATATCTGTGCGTGGGCAAAAATCTTGGTTTATTAAGTGTTCTTGCATGGCAGACCACTTACTGTTATCTCACATATATATTCTTATTATAGCCAAATTTACCACCCTAACTCCTCCCACAGTTTTTACACGACATAGACCGTAATCTACCGAAACGTGTGGATTGTTCCTGATTGGTGTGCTATTACTTTGTGAAACGTTTCGCCAAATGGTTCACGAAATATCTGTGTTTTTGTGGTGAAATTGGTCCCATAGGAATAAATGGCAGAATGTTCAAAACTAGAGTGGAAGCTGACAAAAGCTAGAGTGTGAGCTGAAAAATCAGGACCTGATTTCTAAACTGCCATCACTCCTTCATTTTCAAGCCCACCTTTTCTTTGCTGTAGGATTTACAATTTTTAAACTACAACCGTTTGAAGATGGCAACCGCCAGTGAAGTGAGCAAGTTGGAGCAGTTTGTTTTTAAGCGCTCTTCTCTGCCCTTGCTGTAGAGTGAGTTGCCATAGGAACAGTTACTCCGCCCACTCCAGTTGTAGACTGCTGGTGGAGGCAAGAACACCACACAATATCCCTAGAAATTGTAGCTTTTCTAGTTCATGTTGGTGTCCTAGAATCAAATGAGATGGTCGGTTTGGCTGCTCAGGAGATGACCACTCTACTATGTTCAGTTATTTAACTAGAAGTCTGATCTGATGGAAATAAATGATGAGGCAGGCTGCTGGTCATTTATTGGCACGTGTCCTTATATTTTTAGCAATACTTTTACATACTGTCGATCAGTTGCTGATTCTCTTCTGTCCTTCTCCACAGGAGATCCTAAGTGGCTTCACACAGTCCTGGCCTCCATCCAGCAGCACATCCATTCCCCAGCTCTGCTCTTCAAGCTGGCCCAGGACGCTTGTAAGACTGCAACACCCCCCAACTCTCCTCCTGACACCACCCTGCTGAACATCTCTCTGGAGCTGGGATTACAGGTGAGAGGCCCAAGCTTCTGAGTGGGCCGAGTGAACTATCAGAATATATAATATGGAGTATTACCCGAACTGTGGTAGCTATGGTAGTCCTAAAATTCTAGTGGATTCAGAAATGTATATTTACTCAATTGAAGGCTCCAAAGCAAAAGGCCTCCAAAGACACCTTTTTACTGAGCGAAATCAGTAGGCTGCCATTGTTGAACTCCTTTTTGAAAATGCCAGTTGCCTGACTGTTGATGCTTTCATAGTTGCTGATTATTGACTTGATATTTCAGCCAGAGGCAGCCAAGCAACTAACTTTTCAGCTATCAGTTTAACATGTGTGGAAAGTAATACATAAATGCTCAGATTTTGTAGTGGTATCCATTAATAAGGTATAAGGCCAGGTGTACACTGGTGCGCTGCAGTCTGGCCACAGTGTGCAACCAATGATTTTCGTGCCCCTCGCCCCCCCATAGACTTTTAGGTTGCGTGTTTTTGCTGCAATTTTGGAAAGTGCATTAAAAGTCTTGCATGCTGGATCTTTATTGTGTGTCTTGAGGAAACGCAGCAAAAACACAACCCAATAGAAGGTCTGAGACCGTGACTAAAATGTGCAAAAATTTTGGATACACCCATGCTGTGGCCACACCATAGCGCAGCAGTGTGAGCCATCCTGAAACATCTAGAGAGGAGTAGAGCGGTTAGGGCCCTTTCACACGGACCGACCAATAGGGTCCGCCTTTCCATTTTTCAGGCATCCCCAATCGGACCACCCATCGTTCTTTGAGGAGGCTGATGGAAATGGACATGTGTTCGTTTACACCTGCTTTGATCTGATCTGATCCGATCTGCTAAAAACAGACGGATGGGGGGATTTGTTTCCAATCCACCTAGTGGATCGGATGACTGTTGTAAATGGACATGCGGTCCGTTTACATCAAACCACCCCATAGAGAACAGCGGGCTGTGTCCGTGTCCACTATGTACAAGTGGAGGGGACACAGAATTGTCGTCCACCTGCTTAGCTGGGATCAGTGGACGGATCCCCCGCGGATCAGCTTTGCGGAATCCACCTGTGTGAAAAGGCCCTTTAGTAGTTCTTGTATATCACTTGAGTCAAGATGTCAGTCTCAAAAACTACTCTAAGGCCGGCCATACATGGTTCGAAAATTTACTGATTTTTTTTTTTTTTATCTGAAAATTGTACCTAAGAATGATCAGCTAATTTTTGCTCTGTTAGTGGGTTAATGGCACCGGCTGATTTTCATGGTTCCTCCCCTTTTCGGTGATCAGGCATGTTGGAAAATTCGTGAAAAAACGACCGGTTTTCGACTCAATGATGGTCAAATTGTATGATCGTTTTTCCGAAAAGAATATGCGCATAAGCTGTGACCTGGAAGGAACAGAAGTTTCGCCTGTTATATGGGGTGAACTTTATGACTTGGTTGGCCTATTTTCGAAATCAATGATGGCAACTTCGGATTACCGAGCAAACGATGTTTCCGATTTTTGGACTAAAAAATCGTTCGGAATTTGAAACTTGTATGGCCTGCATTAGTAGTCTCCTTACTATGATTTTAACCTTGAAAAATTCCACTAGTATAATGCAGTGTGTGAGCAGTGCAGTCCTGGTGGCATGACTGTATATTTCTATTATAGGCATGCTGTTTGTAAATATACCGTATTTTTCGCTCTATAATATGCACCTGACCATAAGACGCCTAGGTTTTAGAGGAGAAAAACAAGAAAAATATTCTGAACCAATAGACTGCAGACACAGGTACAGGAGATGACCAGAGGCTGCGGACGCGGTACAGGAGATGACCAGAGGCTGCGGACGCGGTACAGGAGATGACCAGAGGCTGCGGACGCGGTACAGGAGATGACCAGAGGCTGCGGACGCGGTACAGGGGATGACCCAGGGACTGCGGACGTGGTACAGGGGATGACCCAGGGACTGCGCATCTTTGGTGAGGGAGGGGGAGCGGGGTACTTGAATTTGACAGGTACCCGCTCCCACTTTCGCGGAGTTGTCCTCCCTTTTAGTGTGGGCACCCGGCTGTGACAGCCGGGTGCCCACTGCGCATGCGCAAGAAGCGCTGCGCTTTGTGAATGGTCCGGCTTCTTCTGGGATCTGTCATGTGTCCCAGAAGACGCTGGACCATTCACAAAGCCAGCGCCTCTAGGTCATGCGCACTGGGCACCTGGCTGTCACAGCCGAGAGCCCACACTAAAGATGCTGGCACGGGAAGACTACAACGCTGCAGAGCGGAGCGGCCGGCCTGGTATTCTGACACTGTGGTGGAAATACCGGACCAGTCGCTCCATAAGACGTACTGACCTTTTCCCCCCTTTTTTTGGGGGGGGGGGGGTGCGTCTTATGGAGCAAAAAATACGGTAACTGAAAGATTGCATGCTAACAAGATATTTGTCCCTGTTATTCAGGTTATGAGGATGACATTGACCACTCTGACATGGAGACGAAGGGAAATGGTGCGTTGGCTGGTGTCGTGTGCCACAGAAATTGGTAAGCGGGTGCAATCATAGCTTGTGTATGCATTTTTTTTCCTTTTACATTCAGCGCCATGATCAAAACTGACCTCTTATTCTTCATGTCTTCTCAAGGCGCACAGGCTCTGATCAGCATCATGCAGAATTGGTACACCCTCTTCACTCCCATAGAAGCCACCAGTATTGTTGCTGTGTCCTGCACGTCCCCGGCCACCCTCCTCCGTTTCAGCACAGACCCCAGACAACGAGAAGAACTCTGTTCATGTGCCCGGGCACTGGCCCTGCAGTGCGCCATGAAGGACCCGCAGAGCTGTGCACTGCCTGCGCTGACTCTGTGTGAAAAGGACCATACATCGTTTGAGGCAGCCTACCAAATTGTATTGGACAGTGCAAGCTCTGGCCCTGGTGCCCACTCTCACCTGTTTACCGTTGCCCGTTACATGGAGCACCGTGGTCTGCCCATGAGGGCGTTTACCCTTGCAACGCTGGCCCTATCCAACCTAAACATTGGCTTCAGCCAGGATTCCCATCCAGCAGTCAGCGACGTCCTGTGGGCTTGTTCCTTGGCACACTCTTTGGGTAAAGTGGAGCTGAGCACCGTGGTGCCCCTAGTCATCAAAAGTGTACAGTGTGCCCCGGTCCTCTCTGACATACTGCGCCGCTGTAGTCTGGCCCCTCCTGGCTTAGCCCAATCTCTTTCTGCTGCTAATGCCCCACGGGGTAGAGGAACAGGACCCCGGGCTGATAAGCCACCCCTCTGCCAGCTTCTGGAAGCCGCCGTTGGAGCATACATCAGCACCACGCACTCCCGTCTTACACACATCAGCCCGCGCCATTATGGAGAATTTATAGAGTTCCTGGCCAAGGCACGAGACACTTTCCTGTTGGCACCAGACGGGCATCGGCAGTTTTCCCAGTTTCTGGATAATCTTAAGCAGACTTACAAGGGGAAGAAAAAATTAATGCTTTTGGTAAGAGAGAGATTTGGCTGAGCAAACAATGAAGGCGATTTCCACCCTCTAAAAGAAGAAGAAATAATAATAAATAATAAATAAAGACTTGCTGCTCCCCCACCAAGGGTCCAGGTAAACGAGTATAGGAGAGGTTCCCCATACCTCCTATCTCTCCATTGGACAGCCCTTCCTGCAGGCGGAGACATAAATATTTTTTTTTAATTGAAGGAAACTTAATTTTGAAGAAAATCGCCTAGTAATTCTGGGTGAAATTTGTGCTTTTTTTTTTTTTTTTTTTTTTTTTGTTTAATAACTTATATTTATTTATAATATTGGTGAAACCTCTCCTCTTCCCCACCACAGGAACTTAATCCAGTCTATGCGGCCCACTTTGACACTTATGTTTTTTAACATAGAAATCCTGTGTACCGACGGCACAGGAGGTGGGTGCATTCGTGTGTGGGAAAGCGGAGCGATCTGCAAAGAGCAGAATTTATATATTTATTTCTGAAGGAATCTCTGTATTAACTTATTAATATTTTTTTGTATGATTAAGTCTGACTTGTAATCGAATCGAGCATCCTTTTTATTTGTTGGATGCGAAACATCTCTACTCCGCTTAACTCCAAAACGCTGCAGCTGATCTATAGCGTAGCTAAGCTTTAACGGGCTTGAACCAAGTATTAAGCCAAAGGCAGCCATTTTGTATGACGCTGGCTTTGATTTTACACGTAAAAAACAGGATAGGCTCTTACAAGAGGGTATGAGCGCTGGTCATTTCCCATTATTGCCCATATTTTTTTTCATTTAAACATGAAGTAGCTTGGCTATTGTGACATATTTAGTTATGCCTTCACAGATGGGCTGGATATAGCCTGAGCCCACAAAATGGTCACTGATGCTTGGGGTAGACGAGAGGCTTTTTTTTCTTTTTTTTTTTCTCTCTCTTGTGAGCATTGACAAAATGAAATGTTTTAAATGTAATACTACCCCTCTTTCAGGGGTGTTTGTAAGGTTGAGGCAGGGCTCCGTTGCCATCTCCCCGAACCTGTGGGTGCAACTGGCGGTAGTGCTTTTAATATCGCCCTCCCTGTATTTTCAAGCAGGTTTGACAGGCTTCGCCACCAGGCGATCCAGATTCATCAGTTGCTAGGATGCAGGCAGCTAGTCTACATGGCGTCATTGGTTGTTGTGGTGCAGAAGGATGGGCCACCTGCATCCTAGCAACCAAGGATACTGTAAAGCCTTTGTCTGCATCCTAGCAACCAATGAAGATAGGTCACCAGATGGTGAATCAGCTGAGCCTACCACCGCTTGAAAAGACGACAAGATGGAACAGAGTAACTGACAACCTCCCTTCACTGCATTCTTAGTGATGGGGCTTGTCACTGAAAAGCCCCTGGTGCTTGATGCAAGTATTGTCCTTCACCAAATATTCATCTTCTTGTTAGATGCTTGGTCAGACAGTGTTGGGTAGAGGGTAGCATTCTGTCGATCTTGCTATATCAGGGCTAACATGCAAAGAAAGATGGGACTAAAATCCTACATGCACTTTGCCACCTGGGGGACAGAACTCCAAGAATGTTTAAGACTTCTTCTTTAAGGACCTCCTTTTTATGTTTGATTAGTCTAAACTAAAATGACCAAAAAGTATATTTACCTTGTGATAAGGTAAATTTTGTCATTCCAAATCTTGGGTGCATACATCGGTGAGTGGCCATTTTGTGGCTCGGTTATGTCGGCATTTGAAAGGCTGCATCCTCGTATGTATTGCTTTAGGACAAAATGGCTGCCATCCATTGATCATAGGCCTAAGGTGATCTCCTAATTTCTGTCCTTGTATTGGATCAGCCTGTGTTTTCCGTAGAGTGGCAGTAGATTGGAGGTTGATGGTTGACCAAAATTTGCTGTGAAGGTATTTTTGGTGGTCAGCTTGCTGTGTATACTTTGTGTATATTACTCTGTGTGTATGTATATGTATTAACACTGACAGAACTACCCCATGTTATTAGACTGTTCAGGGTAGGGAGAAATCACAGGAGACTAGTTAATTTGGTCTCGATAGCACTGAAAGAACTGATTTTTGGAGGGGTGACCTTGCTTAATACCTCAAAATCCTCCTCATTTCCATATTGCTTAGAAATATGTCGCTTATAATATAACTCAGGAAAGTACAAGCTGTCCATTTGGTATCTCCACAGCGCTGCACTCTGCTTTTTTTTTTTTTTTCCATTCCTCGGGGGAGGGTCTCTACACCTCTCTGCCCTCCCCCAACTTTCCCCCAAATGAAGGTTTAAATCCCTTAATATATGAAAGCGACTCACTGATTAATATAATTTTGTCGGGGAGGGAGCTGATCTATTAAAAATGATGACTTTATTGCTGTTTTATTTATTGACTGCTCTGTAATACTTTAATGACAAATACATTTTAAAGAAAATCTGTGTTCTGCTGACTTGTATTTCTGTGAATTTTGGTTTTCTACTGAAGAGCCCAGTGATTATCTTCATGTATACTGCAGTGATCTAACTGCTGAAACTGTCTGGAAAATCTTGATCGTTGATTATATGCTGACCAGCATCTCCTATATCCTCAAAAATGGTTGGGTTGATTTATTAAAACTGGAGCACTCGGAACCTGGTGCAGATGTAGCCAATCTGCTTCTAACTTCAAAAGCAGAATAGACGAACGACCAGATGCTAAATCCCTCAACCAATGCTGGGTAAGACCAAGATAAGGCCAGTCCCACAGCTGCCCAATGACCATTAGGAGTATGGAGTAATATGAAGAGTATTGAAAATGAGAGGGCTTGTGGTGAGAACCAGGAATAAATGCAATGGTGTTCATGACCAGCAGTCAATGTCTATACAAAGTTTTTAATAAAGCAATAAAACCATAATCGCCATATAAATTGTATCCATGAAATATGATGCAAGAAAAGGATTGGTGCAAAACTTAAGCTGAAAGGAATGGTGGGAGCTGCTTACTGTTGTGTAGACATGGCTATGGGGATCCTGGATGGTGGACTCAGTCGATGGAAGAGTAATGAACCACAGTTGGTGGTAAATAGGGTGTCCATAGGCCAGCAGGTCTGATGAAATGCCACTAGAGAGATGAGGAACCAGGAAGGACCTCCTCAGTGTACCAAAGATCGCGCACCAGAAGTGATGTCACGGCACACCAGAAATGACCTCAGTGGAATGCAAGCATTGTTTGTTAGTGTTCCAATGAGGTAATTTCTGGTGTGCCATTACATAACTTCTGGTGTGTGATCTTCGGTACACTGAGGAGGTCCTTGCTGGTTCCTCTCATCCCTCTAGTGGCAGTTCATCAGGCCACTGGCCTATGGACACACTATTTAGATGGAAGAGTGATGAACCACAGTTGGTGGTAAATAGGGTGTCCATAGACCAGCGGTCTGATGAAATGCCACTAGAGAGATGAGGAACCAGGAAGGACCTCCTCAGTGTACCAAAGATCACGCACCGGAAGTGATGTCACGGTACACCAGAAATGACCTCAGTGGAACGCAAGCATTGTTTGGTTTCCAATGAGGTCACTTCCGCTGCGCGATATTCGGCATACTGAGGTGGTCCTTGCTGGTTCCTCTCATTCCTCTAGTGGCATTTCATCAGGCCACTGGCCTACAAACACTCTATTTAGATGGAAGAGTGATGAACCACAGTTGGTGGTAAATAGGGTGTCCATAGACCAGCGGTCTGATGAAGGGCCACTAGAGAGATGAGGAACCAGGAAGGACCTCCTCGGTGTACCAAAGATCGTGCACCGGAAGTGATGTCACGGCTCACCAGAAATGACCTCAGTGGAACGCAAGCATTGTTTGGTTTCCAATGAGGTCACTTCCGCTGCGTGATCTTTGGTACACTGAGGAGGGCCTTGCTGCTTCTTCTCATCCCTCTAGTGGAATTTCATCAGGCCACTGGCCTATGGACACCCTATTTACCACCAACTGTGGTTCATTACTCTTCCATCTACTGAGTCCACCATCCAGGCTCCCCATAGCCATGTCTACACAACAGTAAGTCGCTCCCACCATTCCTTTCAGCTTAAGATTTGCACCAATCCTTGTCTTGCATTGTATAATTTCATGGATACAATTTTTATATGGTTTGATTGCTTCAATAAACTTTTTATAGATGCTGACTGCTGGTCATGAACGCCATTGCATTTATTCCTGGCTCTCAACACAAATCTGCAAGCTGATTGGTTTCTATGCAGAGCTGCACCAACTTTTTTGCACTCTCCAATTTTAGTAAATCAACCCCAGTGTGTCTTTTCCACCCCATCCATGTGTCTGAAAGACTGATTGCAGCTCTGTGAAGCAGTGAAGTGGAAATCAAAGTCTGGGTTTGAAACTTATCATCCACATCCCTGTTGTCCAAACCATATCGTACTATGAGCAGTTGAATAGGCAGTTGGTCATTGTAGTGAATGTAAATCTATCAATGGCAGCAGAGGTACTGCTTCAGAGATTTACAGCTCTCTGCAGGCTTAACATAGAATGAATGTTTTGTTTTGGATGGAAAAAGGGAATTATGGAGAAATATTGGGGACATTTCCCTTCACTTTCCATCCAGTGCTGTAGAAAGTGAGAGAAAATACATCTTAGAGGTCACCCAAGCTAGTGTCCCCATAGGACGTTTTCATCCTCTATCGTTATCCTGGTGCCAATTTCACAATTTCATTTATTTTTCATTAGGCTTGCAAGCTGAACAGAAGGGAAAAAAAATGTATCCCTTTTTTATCTACGTTTATACAGTGCAAACAATATTGGTCTTCAGTTGTGGCTGTCATGTTTTGACGGCCAGCACTGGCAGCTGTCAAAATACCACAACAGTGCTTGTCTATCCACCTTCCACCCGCCATATAGTAATATGACGGACGCAAGGTGGTTCTCTCTCATTCTTGGAGGACGTCATATTACGTCCTCCTATCCTCACCGCGCATGCGCGGCTCGAAAGCTATCGGTGGTGCGCTGTGTCCCTCGGACACAGCAGATCACCGATCATGGAAAGAGC